AAATTATTACTTAGCATGGAGCAATAGCCATATTCAGATCATTCTAATGGGAAGTCCCTAGGTAGGGCTTAGTTGACAATTTCTTCGTGGCTGAAATTAAGTAATAGACCGTCCCTAGAAATTAGTTGCTGGTTTCTAATTGGCCTGGAAAGTAACTGTTTGCACTAAGCATGTTTCTGTTGCTTAGGTAAGAACCTGATGTATTGAAATTGATTTAGCCTAATGGTTTCCCAATTAATTTTTTTTGAGACAGGATGTTCCTATAGCCCCAGCTAGTCTGGAATTCACTATGTAGACCAAACTGGCCTCAATCTCACAGAGATCTGCCTACCTCTGCCTCCCCAGTGTTGGGATTAAAGGTGTGCACCAACACACCTGGCTCCAATTATTTTTCAAATTTTTTATGTATTTTTTTGTTATGTGTATGAGTATATTGCTTACATGTAGGTAGGTGCACCCATGCCTCACAATGCCTATGGAGGTCAGAAGAGGACATTGGATCCCCTGAAACAGGAGTTACGGATGGTTGTTAGCCTCCATGTGGGCGCTGGGAATCAAACCCAGGTCCTTTGCAAGAGCAGCTGAGAGATCAGATTGACCTTACTGTAGTCAATGAGGGCTGGGATCTAACCAATGGGAATTGGCTGCAGCCCAGTCAGTCAAGTTTAAGTATGTTTGTATGTCTAAATAGAGTCATGGATTGGGTAGGGGCTTGTGTAAAGGGCTTAGGGCCTGCATTGTTCCCATAAGGGTCTTTTGTGGCAGGACTTGTTTCCATAACAGGAGTTGCTTTATGGTTGGGGGTTTTATTCCAGACCCTGAAGAGGAATAGATTGGGGTTTGGGCAAGCCTTTACCCAGTGCCCTGAATTGCCATAGTGGAAGCAGGCTCTGGGAGAAGTCTGTCAGGAGGACATGGGGCTGGGGTAGCCTTCTGAGGTGGTCGGTTCTGGAGGGCAAAGGCCAGGAGTTGGTGCTTGGCCTTTAAATATTTTTCCTTTTCCTCATCTTCCCCGGTATTAAAAAACCTTAAATGCTACATTTGGGTTCCTGTTTGGTGGTGGTGGCGGGGGGGGTCCCAGGTCTCCATTCTAGCTGTTTTAATTTTTTTCAGATTTCAGGAGCTGACTGACTGATAAATTGGACATGAAGGAAGAGGGTGCCTGTGGGGATAGGGAGGTCTAAGTTGGCATATTTGGCAATGGCTTCCATGAACTAGGCCATGAACAGAGTCAGATTTTCATCTACGTCCTGTGTGATTTCTCTAATTTGTCATAATTAACCTGTATGTGGGTGTTCTTTTGCATGCCCTCTAAGAGGCAGGTGACCATATGGTTGATGCAAAAGATGTCCCCATCATTCAGTAGGTAAGTCCAGCTGGGCTCAGCAGTGGGAAGAGCATCATCTGTGATGGGGTATTCGGTATGCCGTTGTTCATGGAGGCCATTGGCATGAGTACCTGCTGCCTGCCAAATTCTTTGTCTTTCATCAGGGGTAAGGATAGACATAAGGATATAATAGATGTCTTCCCAGGTTAGAGGGTCTGATTGTGTAAGTCAGAGAAATTCCTTCCTAAATTGGGTGGGGTTCTGGGAGAAGGAACCTAATTTGGACATAATTTGGCTCATGTCTGACAGAGAAAAAAAGACATGGACTGTGATGTTAACCTGTACTTCTGCCACCTTCCAGAGGGGAAACATAGATGGGGTTGGGGTTGGGGTTGGGATTTTGAGCCAGGAATAGGTGGGGGAAAAGGAGAGGGTGTAAAAGAAGGGGGGGTGTTGATAAGGGAGTGAAGGGTGAGGTAGTAAGTGTGAGTGAAAGGAAGTGTTTGTGGGGAAAGACTGGAGTCAGGGAGAATGGGAGTGGGGTAGATGTTGGAGGTAGCTGGGCTGGGAGAGGAATTTTCAGACAAGGAAATAGAGGCCAATGTGGAAGGGGTGGGTGAAATGGAGGGTTGGGGGATTAGAAGGAGGCCATGGACTGTGAAAAGGCTGTGAAGGAGGGAGTCTTATAGGAAGGAGACTCATCAGTTGGGTCATGCTCAGAGAAGGAGGTTGGGTGGGGAGAGAGGACAGTGGGGAGAAGATCCTGCAATAGGGAATTGGTACATGACTACAGAGGAACAGGGAGGAAGGCAGCAGGGAATATAAGAGAAAACTTGGACATAAGGGACCTCAGACCATTTGCCATTTTGTTGGAGGAAGTTCTATAAATCCTGTAAAACTGAAGGATTGAAAGTTTCAAATTCAGGCCAAATATTTCTGTTATCAAGTTGTTATTTAGACCAAATTTGGGTGCATAAATGGATCAGATGTTTAGGTTTTAGTTGAGTAAAGATGAGTTGTAAGAGATAATTTTTGAGGCAGGCCAATGGGCTATCTTTTTGGATTGAGAGATGCGACACCATAGTAGGCAGTGGAAGTAGGGAGAGGGCTGAATCCGTGGCAACAGGACATCCCCTGGTGTCAGGAAAACATCAGAGAGGCAAAGAGCTGGGATGGGTTTTGGTGAAAAGATTGGGCATCCTCAGTTCTGAACACCAAAATGAGAAGATGAGGAGCCCTCAAGATCTGGGAAAGAGACCCTCAGGGTGCTTCTGAACCTGTCCAGGTTGGAAAAGGTATTGGATGCCTAAATGGCAAAAGGCCTCTAGATTGGAGGTTGGTGGTAGAGAGAGAGGATACAAGAAGCTTTAGGTATTTCCCTTACGGGTTCTTTGAAGCAACCAATGTGACCTTCCAGATAAAGGCCTTCCCCATCTACATGGCAATGAGGCTGTGAGAGCCTGTGGCCCCAGATGGGGTGGCTGCCATTTAGCCAAAGTAGGCTCAGGGAGTGATCAAAGTCTGATGGGGGAAAAGGAAAGGAGAGGAGAAGTATTAGAGGGAAGATCTTGTTCAGAAGATCCTCCCAGGTGTTGGCACCGAAATGTTTGGAATAGGAGTTGCAGGTAGAAAAGAAAGTAACCAACCTCGACAATCCAGATTGTGAGGGGTGGCTAGCTGACTGGTGGAAATTTGCTGTAGTCATGCTGGTCAAGTAGCAGGGGAGCTTAAGTATGTTTCTATGTGGAAATAGGGGCTTGTGTAAAGGGCTTAGAGCCAACATTGTTTCGATAAGGGTCATTTTTGACAGGACTAGTTTGCAGACTAGGAATCACTTCATTGTTGGGGGGTTTTATGGGACCTCCCTTTAGGTGAAACAGGATTTTTAGGGAGGTGAAACTGCTCTGTGTGATGCTGTGGGTACGTGACTTCATGTGTTATCCATACCCACAGAACTTACCATACAAGGAGTAAACCCTATGTGGGGAACAAAAGGCAGTTAGTTAGGGTTACTTTATGTTTAGACCACATGGTGCTGATATTGGATACCCCACATGGGCCAAGATGGCAAAAGTTAAGCATCCAGAGAACTATGAGTCAGCACAAAATGGCTGACACCAGATGTCCAGAGACCTCAAAAGCAAATAGTGATATAATCTGTTAAATAATTATTTTTGACTGAGTGCGGCTTTTGTGTGATTCTCTATAATCATGGCTTTGAGGTCAGAGGTCAGATCTCTACACCTTCACTGGTCTGCCTGTGTATGTTTGCTTGTAGATCTTTGTGTCTACCCCTCCATGCTGCCTGTGTGCCTGTGTCTACCTGTGTATGCTCATGTGTGCTGGTGCCTGCAGGCAGCTGCATGCCTAGCAGGACGACCTGAGTGCTGGCGAATAGGTGAATACAGTATGTCTTGTCTCTCCACAGCTCCTCTCAGGCTCTTCCACCTCCTGGCCTTCCAGGACCCTCCACTCCTGGTATCAAAGCTTGGGCCGCACACCACAAACTTTAGTTAATAATAATCATGATCAGTATTGGTCTGTCAGCTGCAGCAAATATGTCACACTAATGTGGGTTGGTAGAAATAAAGGAAAACTAGAGTGTAGGGGGTGTAGATGGGAACTCTCTGTACACTTTGTGCTCAATTCTTCTCTAAACCTAAAGCTGCTCTAAAAATAAAGTCTGAAAAAAAAGAAGTCTGTTAAAATTTTGTCCTAAAATTAACATATGCAAAGAATATGCAAACATATTCACTATAAAAGTTTTGAATAAAAAAACATAAATAAGAAAACCCATAACCACTACCTTTAGAGATGCCCACTTTTAGTACTAGAATCCTTATCTGTCCAGATCTTCCTCTGTGTATAACAATTTTCCCTATCAGACAGAGCTATGTCATAATTTTTTTGAGATGAGGTCTCATGTAGCTCAGGCTAGCTTGATACTTTCTTTCTACCTCAGCCTCCCTAGTGCTAGGATTACAAGCATGCAGCACTATACTGGGCCATATAATAAGCATTTTTGCATGTACCACATCAATGTATTCAGGTCTTGATCTAACTACACATTATTTCATTGTATAATTCTATTGTAATTTTTATTTTCCCAGTTCCTTAAAGGACATTTAGACCTTGCAGGTTTTGTCACCACAAACCACAATGTAGTGAGAGTCCTTGTACCTCTATCCTTGGGGACCTGTTGTCAACCAGTTGCTGAAGTGCCCTTTTGGCATTTTATCCAAATCTGTATTCCCTTTGGCAGTGTTTGTGTGATGCTCTCCCAACTCCCCTGCCAACAACAAATGCTGCTTGTTTTCATGGGCCAGGTGATGCACACTTTTAATCCTAGCACTTAGGAGGCAGAAGTAGGGGCATCTTTGGGAGGAGGCCAGTCTGGTCTACATGGACAGTTCCAATACCAACTGGGGCTACGAGAAGACCCTGTCTAAAAATTAATAATAATAATAATAATAATAATAATAATAATAATAATGATGATGTTACCTTATAGGAAAAATGTTCTCTCATATAGTGACCCTAAGGAGTGGTGATGGAGCAAGGTCCTCAGTGAATCACCTGGGTTCTTCTCACTGCACCAGCCACACATCTCTGTATCTAAATCTCCACATGTCTCAGTGTCTAATTGCCCTCCCATGTCTTCCATGTTTTACAGTTACGCCAGTGGCCTGACTCATACACAAAGAAGTTTGAGCACAGACTCTACCCCATCACATTTTCAGTTGGAAACCCTCAAGAATGGAAGAAATTGTTCAAACCCTGTGCCGCCCAGAGACTCTTTCTTCCGGTAGGCACACTTGTTGTTAAGATGTGACTTGGGAAAGACTTGCTTTTGAAAGCAAAGTGAAATCAGCTGAGATATGTTCCAGACACAGCTAAAATGTGCTACTCTTTTATTCTGTGGTTGGTGCTTTTAGTCTGCAGAGCGTTTCTCTAGTCTAGAAAGCATCTTTCCCCAAGACTGTGAGTCTGAGAAAGCTTGCTTTAAACAAGAAACTTGGTGACTTGGCTTGTGAACCTCAGCCTCAGTTTCCCCCATAGACTTGGCACGTAGCACCCTGCAAATACTTGCTTCTGTTACTATTTTTCTCACAACAATTACTACTAGATGGAGCCAGAAGTTCATAAAGGGTCCAGAATTCTGATTCAGCCATTCAGTTTTGATTTTTTTAAACTGAATTTTTTTATGTTTTGCCTACATGTATGTATCTGCACCATGTGCATGCAGTGGCCATGGAGGCCAGAAGAGAGTACAAAATCCCTAGTACAGCCAAGGCCCTGGACTCAATGCCCAGTATCACATAAAAAAGAAGGGGGAAAGAAAGACAGAGATAGAGAGAATATGAATCCTTAATAGAAAAATCATTAAAGATGTATCAAAACTGGGGCCGGAGAGGTGGCTCAGTGGTTAAGAGCACTGGCTGTCTTGCAGAGGACCCAGGTTCAATTTCTAGCACCCACATGGCAGCTAACAACTGTCCATAACCCCTGGGATCTGATGCCTTCTTCTGACCTCTGCAGGCGTGCTCAACATACATGCAGGCAATACGTGGTGCATGCCTTTAATCCCAGCACTCTCGGGAGGCAGGTGGATCTCTGTGAGTTTGAGGTCAGCCTGATCTACATACCGAGTTCCAGGCTAGCTGGGGCTTACAGGGAGACCCTGTCTCAAAAGGAATAAATAAATAAATAAATAAATAAATAAATAAATAAATAATAAATAAATAAATAAATAAAGGCACTGGCTGCTCTTGCAGAACACCTGGGTTTGGTTCCTGACACTCACATGGTGGCTAACTATTGTCATTAACTCCAGTTCCAGGGAATTTGATGCCCTCTTCTGGCCTCTGCAGACATTGTATTCATAGGTACACATACATGAATGCAGGCAAAACACTCATACATGAAAAATAAAAAACAAATTTAAAAAAAGGTTTAATATACCAAAACTGGAACATTAAACAGGGCAAGAAATTTCAGAGTGTGAATTGTAACAATATTTCAGAGGGATCTATGCCTTCTAAATATATTACATGGTGTCAATTAGACAGCCATGGGCCTGCTCCCTTGGAGCTTAAGTCTGACAGGAACTTAAGTATGATCAAGACTGAGGCAAAGAAGATGTGCCATGGGTATATATAACATGGAGTGACACTGTGTTCTGGAAGAGATCTTAGAAGAACATTTGTGGGCAGACATAAATGAAGTGAGGTTAGTGGTTGACAAATGTTTGGGAGTCATGAGAGAGGAGAGGTCCAGCAGAAGGACCAACGTGTGCAAAGGCCCTGATCTGGAAGGAGGCATGCTTTCCAACATAAAAGCCCATGCTAACTAAACTAGAGAGTGAAGAAGGTTGAAGAGGTCAGTAGGGGCTGGAGCTTGCAGGCTCAGAATGCCCTTGTGGATATCTACTCTTCATTTAAAGAGCAGTGGAAGCCATTGCATAAACCTAATATGACAATAGGATGGGCCCATTTGTGTGTTAAAGACATCACCCTGGTCCACCTCATGATGGACAGTTAGCTCAGACCCTGAGCTTAAAGGCCTTAATGACGGATCGGAGGCCTGCCTAAGAGATGAATTTTAACATCTCTTATCACTGACTCAGAGTTGAAGGGGGTGAGATAAAAAGGATTTCACCCAGGTTTAGGTTGATCCACTTAATTGTCACTCTCTTCTGGGTGTGGTGGCACTCATCTTTAATCCCAGCACTCAGGAGGCAGAGGCAGGCAGATCTCTATGAGCTTGAGGCTAGTCTGATCTACATAGTGAGTTATAGGCAAGCGAGGGCTACATAGTAAGACCCTGTCTCAAAAAAAATTGTCTATATATAACCATTTATGACTCACACAAAGGGAAATTTCTCATATGGTTCAACTTAAGAAAAAGATGCTGATAATGTATAGAGATGGAAAAACTGGAGGATAGAGTTTGGGTAAAAGGAGAGGCAGTACTGAAATTGCTGTCATGTTTGACTTCAAGGAACCTGGGACTACCCAACCAGGGAGATTTTCCTCATCTATTGGTCTGGAAACTAAATGGTGAACAATATTCTTAACATTTCATGGGGGCTGGAGAGATGGTTCAGCAGTTAAGAGCACTTGCTGCTTTTGCAAAGGACCCAGGTTTGGTTTCCAGCACCCACATCAGGTGGCTCACAACTATCTGTAACTCTAGTTCCAGGGGATCTAACAGTCTCTTCTGGCCTCTGTGGGCACCAGCATGCATGTTAATACACATAGATGCATGCAGGCATACATATATACACATAAAATAAAAATAAATAAATCTTTTAAAAAATGTTTTTAATTGGGCTGGGCGTGGTGGTGCATGCCTTTAATCCTAGCACTTGGGAGGCAGAGGC